TACTTTCCAAAAGAGATCTTTTTAATGTTAAGTATCAGATCTGATACTGAGATTAGTTAAAATTGACTCACTTTGTTTAACTGCCTATCATCTATTTAGAATGAAAAATGAGTGATTTACTATTGTCTACACTATTCAAATATACAAGCAATGTACAAATGAAAGCGTTTAATTCCAGTGCACAGAATCATAATGTTCTAAATTGCTACATATTCTTAAGAAAAGAATTCTGTGGCCCAAGTACTTGGGCCCCTGCCACACACATGGGAGACATGGAAGAAGCTCCCGGCGTCAGCCTGGCCCAGCTCTGGATGTTGGGCCATATGGGGAGTGAACCACTATATGGAAGTTACTTCTAAGGTCAGTATCATAGTATAGTGGGTTAGGCCTTCGCCTGTGACACAGGCAGCCTATGAGTGCTGGTTCAAGTTCCTGCTCCTCCACTTCTGATCCAGCTCCCTGCTAATGCGCCTGGAAAAGCAACAGAAGATGGCCCAAGTCCTTGGGTCCCTGCGCCCACCTGGGAGATCCAGAAGAAGCTCCTGGCTCCTGGTTTCAGCCTGTCCCAGCCCCAGCCATTGTGGCTGTCTGAGGAGTGTTATCAACAGATGGAAACTCTCTCTTTTTCTCCCTCTGTCTCTCTCTTTCTGTGTAACTCTTTCAAATAAATAAATAAATAAATCTTAAAAAAAAAAGAATTCTGATATCACTAAAAGGTAAATTTATAAGCACTGCTCTTCTAACATTTCACAAGTACTCATGGAACACTACACATTCAATAAATAAATACTGTGGTGTAGCAGGTAAAGTAACCACCTACAATGCCAGTATCCCATATGGGTTCTAGTTCCTATCTCAGTTGTTCCACTTCAGATCCAGCTCAGATCCACTTCAGAGCCAGATTCAGATCCAGATCCAGGCTGCTAACAGCCTGGGAAAAGCAGATGGCCCAAGTATTAGGGTCCCTGCTATCCACGTGATAGACCAGAATGAAGCTCCTGGCTCCTGGCTTTAGCCTAGCCCAACCCTGACTATTGTGACTATCTGGGAATGAACCAGCAGATGAAAAATACCTCTCTCTTTGTCTTTCCCTCTCTCTAACTCTGACTTTCAAAAAAATAAAGCGCACATTGGCAGCACATACACTAAAATTGGTACAAATAAATAAATTTTTAAAAAATAACTATTACAAGCCAGGTACTGTTTTATACTCCAGGGAGTCATCAATGAACAAAACAAAGATAAATCCCCACCCTCCAGGATTTAGCAGATAATCTCACCCAATGTAGTTCACATGTATGATCTCCAATTAAGAGAAAGTCATCCTCAAATGTCTAATTATCAACATGAGACAAAAACACTGTCAAAATATGAGGAAAAAAGCCATAAAAAGAAATTGTCTGACCCAGTATGTTTTATAAAAAACATCAATAATTCTGAGTATTATTATACTCCTTAAAATATGTATCAGAAAACCAGAAGATTATTTAGTGCCATAGAAGTTTGGGGCATACTAAACCACAATCCTAAAGGAACATGTCAAACTGCTAATTATTAGTTCTATGATTATGCCTATAAGAAAGCTATAAGAAAATTAGTAAATTGATAACAGCTGCCAGCACTATGATTTATCGAACATCAGCAGTACTAAATACTATCCAGGCTGTAATACTACCCAAGCTCAGTATTGCTACTTTATATCTGACAAGTACATAAAAAGTCAGAGGTAGAGAGATCTTCCATCTGCTGGGTCATTCCCTATATGGCTCCAATGGTCAGGACAGGGGGCAGGTCAAATTCAGGAACAAGGAGTTTCATTCAGGTCTCCCAAGTGGGTTGCAGGGGCCATCTTCCACTGCTTTTCCCTGGCCATTAGCAAGGAGCTGGATCAGAAGAACAGCTGGGACTTGAATTGATGCTCATATGGGATGCTGGAGTCATAGGTTTTACCACAACACCACAATGCCAGCCCCAACAATATGATTATTACATAGGAAGGTATATCGTTTTCAAAAAAATACCAGTAGTTAAGAACACAGTTTAAAACAGGAACATAATTGTTGCCAAAATTAAGAGGTAAAATAGATTATTCTTTTTGATATAATAAGTAATTTATGATGGTGGCTACCAGTATGTGCACCACAACCTGGCTTCTGATTCTCTTAGACTAAGGGTCTGGACAAAGGCCAAACACAGAGGATGGGGGCAAAAAAAAGGGCTGGATCACAAGCCAAACTCAGATCAAACCTATCCCTGAAACTAAATAAGTAAATTTACAGAAGCCAAAGTTTCTTCATCAATAGAACAGGCATCGTAATGCCAGAAATGCATGCTTCCCATGAGATCACATGCAAGTTCAAAAGTGTTCACAACAATAAAGACTTCTTAGATAATCTCTAAGAGCCCTTTCATTCAGCTCTAAAATTACAGTACTACAAAAACCTATGAACCATAACTGCTTCTGGACTCGGAAGAGACATACCTAACAATCAGATATTGTCTGGAAGGCATTGGTTTGAGAACACTAAATTCAAAAAGTCTTTTTAAAAAGTCCAAATAGTTAGGGGTTCTGGTCCAGTGTGTCACAAAGGTGAAATAGAGGGAATTTAATTGCTTGCTTCTTCCTTCTTTGGATTAATCAGAGTACACTAATGAGAACAAGAAAGAGCTGAGTTCCGGCCAATAGCAAGGGTCATGATTCCACAATCCAGAGCTCCCAGTAGGTAAGACAAGGTAAAAAGAAGATGGCTTTTCTGTATGATCGAACAGTTACATCTGCCTACTAACACATCACATAAATAAAATGAGTTCTATCATGTACAGACAGGGAACAAAAAAAGAGTCATTAATACTGGATTCCAAACAATCCTTGTTCTAAATGTTACTATTACTATACTGGTCCAAATGAAGTGAACATGGAAAACAGAAATCCGGAGTCTGTGGACTCTCCACTCAGCACCCTGGAGCATTCCAACAGTGTCCTGATACTTTCACACACTGCTGCTAGGCTGGACATGCCCAGCTTTCCCCTTTCTGCCTGAGGAACTCTTCCTCACTTCAAGGCAAAAGCCAGAGGTAAATGCTCTCTCTCCTGCACGTCAACAATACTTTGTAGTACATTACAGAATAGGTCATGGTACTGTGCTGCTCTCAACTGCTTCTAGCCTGTCTCACTGAGGAGGTACACTGCATTCAATGTTTATTCTCAGCCTTAACACCATGCCTGATTCTAAGTAAATGCCTGTTAAATAGGAATAAATACTGAAACTCCACATTCTTGTTTAATTATAGTCAACAGAATAAAAGGAAAACCTGTGAATTCTTTAAATTTATTAAAGAAAGAGTTATTATTTATCTATTATTAAGGAGATGGGGAAACATACACTAATACAGTATTAGAAAAACCAACAGAGGTAACACAGTAAATCATCAAAAACAAACATCAAGGTAGTGGCATATGTTTCATGATTTGCAAAATGAAAATAAATCCATGAAATGAGTAAGAAAATGCTAACTAGAAAACAGTGCTAAAGTATGCAAAGCAAACTATAATTATTCAATTATTCAGATACGATGACAAACCAATCCAGAATATAAGACCGGCTGAAGTTAATGTTGAAGAAATAATCAGGACTTAAAATTTAAAATATATTAAACAATAATGCAGAAACAAAATCCTCATTTATGGGGCCAGCACTGTGGCACAGAGGATAAAGCCTCTGCCTGTGATACCAACATCCCACATGGGTGCTACTTCATGTCCTAGCTGCTCCAATTCTGATCCAGTTCCCTGTTAACGACCTGGTAAAAGGAGCAGAGGATGAAGTGCTTGGGCCCCTGCCACCTCCAGGGGAGACCAAGATGAAGGTCCTGGCTCCTGGCTTTAGCTTGGTTTAGCCCTAAGCTGTTGTGGCCATTTGCAGAATGAACCAGCAGATGGAAGATCTCTCCCTCTGTCTCTGTAACTGAATTTCAGAAACACAAATAAGTCTTTTTTTTTTTGAAAGGTAGAGTTAGAGAGAGAAAAAAAAGAGAAGTGAAAGAGATCTTCCATACACTGGTTCACTACCCAAATGGCCACATTGGCTGGAGCTGGGCCCATCTGAAACCAGGAACCAGAGCTTGTTCCATGGGTGCAGGGTCCCAAATACTTGGGCCATCTTCCACTGCTTTCCCAGGCCATCAGCAGGGAACTTGATCGAAAGCACCTGGGAATCAAACTGGCACCCATATGGTATATCAGTGCTGCAAATGGCAGCTAAACCTTCTACACACAGCATTGGCCCCATAAATAAGTCTTTTAAAAAGAAAGTTCATTTATATTTCTACCCTTGGTTTAGGGAAGAAACTGAAGAGTTGAAAAATTTGGTTAGCTGATTTTCCCTAAGACAAGAGTATGATCTGATGTTCCTACGTAAGTCAAGTGCTGTGGGAGAGCCATGCAGAGAGAGGAAATGTAACCATCTCCATCACAGATAGTGCCTTAAGTGCGAAGCTTATTCTCAGTATGAAACTATCTAAAACCTTGCCATAGAGCCACTCTTATCCTACCTATTAAGTGACAAAACATCAAAACAATGGCACTTAAAATCTCAGATCAGTAAGGCTCATTTCCTCTTGGAGCATCAATAATCTCAGATTTGGGGAGTAATGTATTTATTGTTATTTTAAAACATAGCAAAAAAATAGAATTATGAATGACAAAAAAAACTAAGTATTTTTAAAGCTAAAATAAGAAATTCACAGATACATGACACTTGTAGGAGAATGCTCTGGTCTCCACAACCAGGCCCCAGGAAGACTGGATTCATTCTCCACAAAACTTTTTTTAAAACTTGAGATAAGATGATACATAGTAAAATAAACACTATGGATTCTTACTAATACCTACACTTGCAAAGTGTATAATTATGAAAACATTCAAGTTCATTCAAATTTGACCTTAAAGGTATACTGGTGAAAATGTCTGAAAGACACAAAGTTAAGCCAATCTGCATTACCTGTTCTTGTCCCTGGCGACTGTATAGCTTAGTACCTAACAGCCTTAATAATCCGAGTGTCTTCGGCACCTACAAAATAAATCACATCATATAAAAACAGATTAATGGAATGATTTCTCATGTATAAATTATTTTCATCACAAAATAAAAGCCAGCAAATCTAGTATTTCAAATACGATTAAAATAGTACTAAAAAATGTCAAGGATCTTAGTGAGATTCTCTTTCTGCTTGAAAAAAAATTACCAGTCGATAAAAGTTTACAAAATATATGCATAACCAAATGTTAGTTTAATACATAAATAAGCCTAGTACAACTTATGCAATTGAAAACCACTGCAAGCTTTTCACAAATGAAGCTGCTCTAGGTTACCATTTTATTCTAACATCATTATGGAGGTCAAAATTTCCAGCAGACATTTTATTCGTTAAGAATTAATCATATACCTGAAAAATAGTCAAGAAAACTTATCACTTATAAACCGGTATTTAAAATAATATAACATAACTATTTTTGCCTTAAATTTAAGAAATACACTTACAAAAGCAAGGTCAGACAATTATAATTTTAAAAATGAAAAATAACAAGTGTTTAGAATGTAAAGAATTTGGAACACTTATACACTGCCATTGGGAATATCACATGGAATAGCCACTGTGGAAAAGGACTGGCAACTCCTCAAAAAGCTAAACATAAAATTATCATGATCCGGCCAGCGCCATGGCTCACTAGGCTAATCCTCCCACCTGGGGGGCCCCGGGCCACGTGGTGTTCTAGCCCCGGGTCGGGGGAGCGAATATTTGGTCCCCAGTTGCTCCTCTTCCAGTCCAGCTCTCTGCTGTGGCCCAGGAGTGCAGTGGTGCTTGGCCCAAGTGCTTGGGCCCTGCACCCGTATGGGAGACCAGGAGAAGCACCTGCCTCCTGGCTTCAGATCAGCGCAGTGCGCTGGCTGCAGCAGCCACTGGGGGGTGAACCAACGGAAAAGGAAGACCTTTCTCTCTGTCTCTCTCTCTCACTATCCATTCTGCCTATTAAAATAAAAAAAAATAAAAAAAAAAACATTAAAAAAATTATCATGATCCAGCAACTCCAACCTAGGCTGATATTCAAAAGAACTGAAAATAGATATTCAAACAAGTAACTGTACATGAATGTTCCTAACAACACTATTCCCCATAGCCAAAAAGTAGAAGCAACTCAAATGTCCATTAACTGAAGAATGGATAAACAATACACATGTGGTATATATATGTGATGGAATATTACTTATCCATGAAAAGGAATGAAACACTGATACATGCTACAACAAGCTGAAGTTCAGACATTAGAGTAGGTAAAGGAAGCCAAGTACAAAAGGTCACATATGATATGATTCCATCTCTATAAAAAAATTCAGAAGAGGTAAACACACAAAGTCAGAATACAGAATAGTGGCTGTTAAGAGCTAGAGGGAATGGGAGAATACGGAGTATCTACTTAATAGATACAGGATTTCCTTTTGGGGTAATAAAAATATCTGGGAACTAGACAGTTACATAACACAGTGAATGTACTAAATACTACTGAACTGTGTATCCCAAAATGGGTACATTCAAAAAATATCTGAGCACCTAATACACCAGGCAATGTGGTGAGTCCGAGGTGCGTAATTTTGATTAAGTGATTGCTTTCATGTAGTTTATACAAGTAAGCAAGATAATTCATTGTTAGTGAAACCAGTGCCATCTTATCTGGGGCACCATCTTAAGCCTCAGGCACCATTTAAGGCCCTGGCCCAACTGCCACCTTGTACAATAAGTTTCAGTTTCTCCAAGGTACATTTCAGTTTCCTAAGTCCAGCCTGGTTTACCAGAAATCAGGTGACCAAATGTCCCAACCATACGTGTTGTCTTCACCCCACCCAATGGAATTTACTGTTCTTACTTCCTTATCTCTGCTACACTATGTAAGAACTGTTCTCCTAGCACAGGCTATTTCTCTTGTGAATGGAGAGGCAGCCTTATTGGCCAACAATAAAAGTCTCCCTTGTAGTGGTCTTTCATTGGTGCGGTGACTCAGATCCAGGGTCTCCCATTGACCTTGCTCTCCCCTGGGGGATATGAGCTGCTTCAGGATCCTGGATTCCTGCCAAGCACAAGAACCACCCCCAGACATCCTTCGTGGCTTCCAAACACTCTGTGATCTCCATCCACTCACCAGCCCTTCAAAAATTCTAAGACAGTGTGAGCAGAGGATTCTCTCATTGCGACTTTTTATGGGTTGCAGTTCTACATGACTTTGTCCTGAGGTCCTGGTACCAGGCATCACAACTCCTATGGTCTCATGCCCCTCTACAGACTTTGTGTCCAGGCAACAGCAGGTGTGGGTGACATCTTCTACAGACACTACACCCTGGGCTCCAGTGGGTACGGGTGGCAACCCCACCCTCTGCTCCCTTACTCTCCTTGTTGGATTGTTGTGATCTCAGGGACTCCTGCTATCTGCCAGCCCAATCTCTACAGGCCACTATGGGAGCTTCCTCATCCCATGTTCCATCCAACTCTCCCTCGGTTGTCTCCTAAACAATCTTGTTCCTCTCCAATTGGCCCGGGATCTCAAATGCCATGGCCTCATCTTTCACTGCAATCAGGTATGCCCCATGTATGAACTCAACAACCAGTCCAAGGGGCTGGTGCTGTGGTGCAGTGGGTAAAGCCGCCAACTGTAGTGCCAGCATCCCATATGAGCACCAGTTCGAGTCCCGGTTGCTTCCCTTCTAATCCAGCTCTCTGCTATGACCAGGGAAAGCAGCAGAGAATGGTCCAAAGTACTTGGGCCCCTGCACCTGCATGGGAGATCTGGAAGAAGCTTCTGGGTCCTGGTTTCAGAACAGCTCAGCTCTGGCCATTGCAGCCATTTGGGGATTGAACCAGCGGATGGAAGACCTTCCCGCCCCCCGGCTCTCTGTAACTCTGCTTTTCAATAAATAAATAAATAAATCTTTAAAAAAAAAAAAAAACAAAAACAGTTCTGAGACTTGCGCTGTGGCGCAGTGGGTTAAAGCCCTTGCCTGAAGCGCCAGCATCCCACATGGGTGCTGGTTCGACACCTGGCTGCTCCTCTTCCGGTCCAGCACTGGAATGTGGCCCAAATGCTTGGGCCCCTGTACCCACATGGGAGACCCAGAGGAAGCTCCTGGCTCCGGATCGGCTCAGCTCCAGCCATTGCGGCCATCTGGGGGGTGAACCAGCGGATGGAGGACCACTCTCTCTGTCTACCTCGTCTACCTCTCTCTGTAACTCTTTCAAATAAATAAAATAAATCTAAAAAAAAAAAAAAAAAAAAAAAAAGTCCAAATGACCACTTAATGGCACATTCGACCCCGACATGATTCGGGATCTCTACCACTCTGTGATCCTTTGGGAAAGTGGAAGGAGATTCCCTACATTCAAGCTTTTTCCCATCTCTGATCTAAACCTTATCTCTGCGTCTCATGTTCTCCAGCTCAGGTCCTCCTGGCCACTAAGGCTCCTACTAAAGATCCAGAGCCAGAGCCAGAGCCAACACCCTTTTGTTCTACCTTCAGTCCTGCAGATGAGCCCAGCCACCACAGGCACAGTTCAGCACCTCCCTGATCAAGCCCCAGCACAGGCACCTCCTACTCAGCAACCTCAGAGCCCTATCTGCTGCAGCCCCTCTGCCGCGGCTCTCACTGCCTCATCGATACCTCCACCTCCTGTCCAGGAATTCCAGGAGGCAGCATCTGCTTCTACCTCCCTTATCTCCTACTCACCCTTATCTCAAAACCAGCCCCTGTCCATTTCTACTGCCCCTGCTCCCCCTCCCTTACCTCAAACCAGTCATCGCGACAGCTTCCGTCCTACCCCGTTTCACTGAGCAAGCATACTGTTCCTGCCCTGCCACCACTGCTGCAAGTCCCTGACCCCCCTTCTCTTGTCCCCAGTCCCCAAGTCACTCACTCTCGTGCAGCAGCTAGGGAGCCTGCCTCCACGTTTCCCCTTTGAAAGGTGGCAGGAGCAGAGGGCATAGTCAGGGTCCACGCTCCTTTCTCACTTGCTGATCACTCACAAATTGAACAAAAACTGGGTTCCTTCACCTCTAACCCAACATTGTACATTAAAGAGTTTCAATCTCTAACCCAGTCCTATGACCTGACTTTCCACGATGTCTTTATGATCCTCTCCAATACCCTCCTTCCAGAGGGGCGAAGGCAAGTTTGGGAACAGGTCCATCTCCACGCTGATGAGACCCACCAAACTGACCTTGACCATCCCATAGGAGTAGATGTGGTCCCCAAACAGGACCCCAACTGGATTTACAACTCTCCCAATGGTGTAACGGCCAGAAATCGTTTCATTACCTGCTCATTAGCTGGCCTCAAAAAATCTAACAGAAAGGTTGTTAATTATGATAAACTGGAAGAATTTATTCAAGATAAAAAGTAAACCCTTCCAGCTTTCTACAGGATCTGAAGCAGACCCTTCTTCAATACACTAACTTAGACCCAGAACCTCCCAATGGTCAGGGTTTGCTCATGAGCCATTTATTTGCCCAGTGTTTCCCTGGTATCAAGGCAAAATTAGAGCAGCTCGAGAGGGGCTCATTAACTCCACAGGCAGAAATTGTAGAGGTGCCCTTTAAAGTATACGATGAGAAGGATGAGAGAGCGCAAAAGGCCAAGTTTCAGACGCTGGCCAAGGCCTTTCAACAACCTGCTACATCCAGTGGCTCAGGCGACCACAAGATTGATAGAGTTGACAATAAGGGCCCCCAGGGTCCATGTTTTAAATGTGGCCAAATAGGCCATTGGGCCAAAACGTGCCCCAGCCCCAGGGACCCACCAAGTCCTTGTCCTGAATGTCACCAAAAGAGCCAATGGACAGTGGACCGTCCTCTTGTCCATCAAGTCAACAGGCCATCCACCCCACCTATGCCCCAGGTTGACCTTCAAGGGTTGGCTATTGAGGGCTGAAGAAGCCCAGACTCCCACCACCTCACCATGACCATCACTCCACGGGAGCCCAGGATAATTGTGATGGTAACAGGTAGGCCAATTTCTTTTCTTATTGA